TTATTAATGAATAAAATAATTAATATTTTTAATTAATAAGTTAAAATTAATTAACAAAATAATATTTTTAAATAATATTTAAAAAATAAAAAAAATTAGTGATTTAAACACTATAAATTATAGTGACAATAACTATACCTTAATGAAGTTGAATCAATAAATTTATAGTTTTTTAGTTAATCAGTGTGATTGAGAGTTCAATTGTCCATGTATCAAACAAAACACAAAAAATTATTACAAATCAAAGATATACTGTCCATTTACAATAACTGAGTTTTAATTTTATGCATTGATTAAAGATTTAAGGTAATTTATAATTTTACTTATACTATAAAAATGTAGTTATTTTATTGAACTCTAGTAGGCTTTTTCTTTTCTTTTCTTTTCAACGTGGGGAATTTTTTTGGGAGAAAGAAGAATTTTTCAAGTTATTGATGAGAATAGAACTCCTAATTATTTAAATCTAAACTCTTAGATTAGATTAATGATAAACTATTAAGCCTATTGGGCTAGTTCTAGTCGTTTTTTTTTTTTCAATTGTGTTTTTCCAAGTGAATTTAATTGTATTTAGGATAAATGGAGATTAATCTAGTTTAAGATCAGAACAACACATCAATTTTAGTTCGGATTTATGGTACTTACAAATTGCTGCTCCGTTTTAGTTTTAGTTGTAGTTTTTTTTTTAATTTTTTTAATTTTTTTTATCATCGCCACTGCGCTCTAGTATAATTGTGGTTCTTTATGTCAGGCTAAATGATTTGGGCTTATTAACATGAGCCATCCCTTGTGCACTTTATTTTGCTGGTTCTTACTTTTTAGTCAGTATCAACAGGTAAGGCTTTGCCGGCCAGATAGGCCAAGCTACTTCTACCTTTACAGCCCAACAAATGGACGAAAAAGGCTAAAACTAAAAGCTAACTTATACGGACAATCAATTCCTAAACCCAAACTAAATTACAGAAATTGGCCCAAACAATAAGTAATGACTCTTGTAGCTTGTGCCAAAAAACAAAAAAAAAAAAGAAAAAAAAAAAAGGAGTAACCAAAATGAGACAGGAGAATAGGCTTCGCCCTCGCAAAATGACTGCAGAAGAGGAGTTTGATTAGCAAGGCCAATTCACATGGTTCTCCTAGCCGTGAGGTATTAGTTAGCAGAATACATGGGCAATAAATTGTAAACAATGAGAAAGCAGGGGCAGATGAGGTTGGTGAGGCTGAAGGAGAAAGTCTGGTAATTAGTAAACACCCTGCAACCTATGGAGGTCCCTGTACAGCGACTTCTACCAACAAGGGAGGGAACGGGAAAGAAAATGAAAGGTGCTAGATCAGGCCGGGGCTGCTGGAAAAGGGTTGGGCAAGATACAATCACCCCTGAAAGTAGGAGAAATTAAAGAAGGGAAAGGGAAATGAAAGGCAATGCAAGGAGAACTAGGCTTAATTAGAAAGGGTTGCAAAAGTTCTAATTGACAACTCAAGAGTTGCCATGGTGTTGCATGATTGGGGTTCGGACCCTCCAATGAGAGAAGGTTGATTTTCATATCATCTGACCTGCGATGGATAGGACTACAGCTTGTTAGCAATAAACTCGCCCCTAGAATTTGCATAAGAGGTGAGATTTCCACAGGGCTAGTATGCTAAAAATGGTTGTCTTTATACTTTGTATCCCAGTTATTGCCCCTGTAGCAATTGAAATTGTAATCACTAATACCAGGTCGCCTCTTATTCTTCACTGTCCCATCTGTTTATGGGTGTTGATTACTTATGGGTTTGTCCCATAGTGGTGTGCAGAACACAGAAGTTGGTCCAGGTTGGTTATTAGGCAACTTGACCCATCAGCCATTATAAAATTGCTGCTTGTTTGTATTGTATTGCCAGCATTAATAAAAAAATAATAATTTTTAAAATTAAAATTTAAGAGTAATTTATGATAATCATTTAAAAGTCATCCCATTACCGTGTCATGGACTAGCGGGGTAGGTGGTAATTACGACTATGGGATCCATACAATGGGCTTGTGGCACATAAGGCACAGTATTTGTAGAAATTATGCATATAAATTTTAATGCAAGATTTGTAATTAATTTAAAATTAATTTATATAAATAAAATACTTTTTTATTTAAATTTTGAGAATGTAAAAAATTAAGAT